GTGTGTGTGTGTGTGTGTGTGTGTGTGTGTGTGTGTGTGTGTGTGTGTTAGGGGCTGCATGCCCAGGAAAGCAGGAGCTCAAGGGCTCGGGGAAAAAAGAAGCAAGAATAACTGGGGGAAGAGCAAAGCTGTAGCCCAGGCTAGCACTCCCAAGCTGCCCCTAAGTGATCACTGAGGCTAGTGGCAAAGTGACTGCTAACCTTCCTGTGGCCAAGAGCAGCAGGCAGCCTGGACAAAACAGCCGGTTGTGCCCCGGCCTCTTCCCAGAACCCAGCAGGTGGCACCATCCACCTGCTTCTGTGGCCTGAGGGAGTAGAGGGAGCTGACCAGGGCAGAGAGGCCTTGCTAGCCCTAGCTAGACCTCTAGCAAACAGGTACAATCAGTCCAGGGCCTGTGGTTGGGGCCTTGGACTCAGTAGCACACTTCTGAGGGTTGAGGGTTGGGGCACAAGGAGCTGGTTCCCTCAGAGCTCAGAGCCTGGTTGGGGGCAGGAGCTCAGTTCTCAGCCTGCCCCGGGGAGCACAGGGGCCCAGGGTGGCTGGGGGTGGGAAGCAGGGTCTGCCCCCGCCTTAGCCACACTGAACACTAATCTCTGTTTCCATCTCTGCAGGGGAAGTGCTGGTATCTCTCACGGAGGCACTCAGTGCTGGGCTGGGCTCCGGGGCACCGAGGAGTGAGTGGAGTAGGAGGGGAGATGTTAAGAGCAGGCAGCTTGTCTGTGGCCTTTCCCTGAATTATCATTGCTGACTGCCCAGGGGCCCTACAGCCACCAGCCAGGGAAGCGCCTGCAGGTTGTCCCCAGTGATGGAGCTGAGAAGAAAGTGATAATGGGCCAGCTGTGGAAGGAGAGGCCTAGGTCTACACCCCAGCCCTTCCACCCTCCATCAGGCAGCTTATCTGACTGCAGAACAAACACAGCAGCTTTGGGAGGGCAGAGCAAGGAGGCCACTCTGACACTGCCTTGCCACTGGACCCGGGCTCCAGGGTCATCTCCTAAGGAGGATGGTGGCTGATGTTAAGATGGGGTGGGGGTGGGGGTGGGGGCTGCATCGCCTCAGGAACGAGAAGCAAACAGAGAACCTCAGCCCAAACTGGGCTGCTACCCCTTCCTGACACTCCACAACAGAAGGTGTCCTTGGAGCACAAGCTGGGCAAAGGTGGTCCCACCAGCCGTCCAGCCCCCACTGCCACCAGACAGTTCCTATAGAATCTTTATTTCTAGAAGTTAAAGTACTTACAGCAATATACAAAAAACAAACAACAACAACAAACAACCCACAATAATATAAATTTTTACACTAGAAAGTATACATTGGGATTTGAATGCAGTGGCCAGGATAGAATACAAGCCACTGCAGGGAGGCTAAGCAATCTGCAGGCATGGCTGGGCAAGGCAGAGGACAGATGGGGGCCAAAGGGAGGGAAAGTGGGCGGTTCTGAGGACTCCTTGGGGCCAGCACTATGGTTGGTTAACCTAGGTACACATACTTCCCAGAGCCTGGTGTTTTTCAGCACGTGCCCCAGAGAAGCCCTCACACCGACCCTGGGTCCCCAGGATTTAAAGCTGTCAGTGTGCCCAAGCCCTGCCTTTCTAAATATCCTTTCAGTTTATTGTGTACTAAAGAACATTGCTGGGGAAGGGAGAGTGATAACTGTCTCATAGCAGAAGGCCAGGGGTGGCCAAGGCAAGCAGTTTGTCTTGGAGACAATGCCTTCACCACCCTTAATTCAGACACTGGTTAATTAGCGTGAAACAGACAGAATTCCACAGACACGGATCTACTCAACAAGGTGGCTTTGAGTCACTGAATCTAGCCATGCCCCTGTGTCAGGGGAGGCTTGCCTTGAACCACTAAGTGTTCAAGTAGGCTGACGGGCTGAGGCAAGCGGGTGACATGAAGGCCACAGTAGGTGCAGGCACTCTGCTCCACCTGACCTGGGGCCCCCAGTGGGGAGCAGACAATCGCCAGTCTCAGGGGAGGCCAAGGATACACCCCTCACAGGAGGGGCAGACCTGGAGTTTATCAGTCAGCTTTTGCCCTGTGGTTACAGGTCCCCCTGGGAACCAGGCAAACAGGATAAGGACCATACTCCCTGAGCTTTGCTGAGGACCTGTAGTCTGAGTCAGGGTCAAACCTGTAACTCAGTCCCTCTTGTCACAAGGTCCCGAGGCCAGGGTTCCCAATGCAAGCAGGACAGAGGGTCTTTGGACATGGGAAGGAGACATACCACTAACAAGGTCAAGTGGGAAAGAAAGACAGGCTGATCCCAGCCCCAGCAAGGCACCCACAGGGCAGGCTGGCTCCGGGGTCTGCAGTCTGGGTTGGGGTAGGGCGATGACAAAGGTTTTCCATGCCCTTGGCCTAGCCTTACCCTTCCAACGGGTACTGGGAAAAATAAAAGCCAGTTTGTGAAAAGAGTCTGGGGTACCTAGGTTCTCTCTGACTTTCGTGTTCAAACACAAGGCCAGGCTACAGTCTCTGATGCCTCTACAGATTTAATCTGAAAGCATTTAAGGATTTACAGAGATGATCGGCCTTAAGACAGCTGAATGCTTAAAGCACCAAAGAGGCTGATAACTGAGATTCTTTGACACAGAAAGGCTATGCTATTTCAGTGTGTTTTGCCCTTTAAGTTGTATTATCTTTTGTTTATTTTTTTTTCCTTTTTAATTAAAATAGAAAAACCTATGGGCTTAGTCCTGTCTTCTATTTGGACATTAGCAAGGTTAAAAGTGCAGTGCCAGAGTCCTCAGCTGCAGGCAGCCTAGGGTATCAGCTCACAGAAATGGGCAGAAGGATGCCATGGGCACCAGGAGGCACTTTTCTAACAATAAACCACGAGCTGCTGAGAAAGGAGGGCAGCAGAACAGAACACGAGGCGTTTCCTTTCTCTCCCTCCAGCCTCCCGCTTTCACATCCCCCATCACGGCCTCAGAGAGCACGTTCCTCCTGACGTGAAAACACATCACCCGCACTCACTCATTTCTCTATTTTAAAAAGTGCCCAGATTGCTCAAAGATAGCAGAAGTAGGAGATTGAAAAAAAAAAAAAATCTGGAACCACAAAGTTAGGAGTTTCAGATGATCTGGGGTTTGGCTGCTTAAGGGGTGGAACACGGGGCAGGTGTCTCAGTCACTTCTCTGCAGCTTCCGTTTTCAGCTCCTCACATGGGGGAGGTAGCACACTCCGAGGTCAGATCCATGTCAAATGTGAGCGACTCTGCAGGGACAGACGGAGAAGAACGTTGGTTCAGCCACCTGGCCACAGCCAGCTCACAAACCCCGACCCCTCTGCAAGCGGACAGGGTTCAGGTGCCACCGTTGGCCAGTCTGCTGCCCCCTTGGGCCTGGGCAAGGTCAGAAAAGCCATATTTCTTGCTCCTTATGGGGCCTCCAGAAGAGCTCAGGCTCCACCTCAGCCCAGCTCTGTTTAGGGGTCTAGGGCTGCCCTGGATGTGCCTTAGTCACACAGAGCCACTGAGCACCTGAGACAGGTCTAGATCCCGGTGTGAAGGCTACCACACTTCAAAGACTCAGCAGAGGAGGCAGGGAAGGGGGAGAAACGGCCCAGTGACTATCTCAGCATCACACGGGCGCCGAAGAGCCAGTGTGTGGCCTACAGAAGGTATTAATGTCATTTGCCCCTTCTTACTGTGGCTACTGAAAAATTACACGTGTGTGAGGTTTGTTTCCACAGCAGAACATGGCTGTAAAGCACTTTTTTTTTCCTTTTTTTTTTTAGTTTTTTAAGACAGGGTTTCTCTGTGTAGCTCTGGCTGTCCTGGACTCACTTCGTAGACCAGGCTGGCCTCGAACTCACAGAGATCTGCCTGCCTCTGCCTCCTGAGTGCTGGGACTGAGGGCATGTGCCACCGCGCCCAGCTCTATGGCCCATCTCCCAGTGTGGCTGACAGGCGCTGGGCTCTGCATGGGTATCAAAGGGGCCTGACTCTCCAAACACTCACCAAACTGCCCTCCTGCAGAGGGCTCAGCACCTTCACCGTTATTTCCAAACTGCATCAATGAATCTAAAGTGCGGGGGGACATCGGCAGGTCAATGGTATTGCTGCAGGTCGTTCTGTAAGGAAGGGGGGACGGCAGGAGGGGGGAGGGCCGGGTTGACAAGACACAATGGAGGGGGAAAAAAAAAGAACAAAACACACACACACAAGCCATCAAACTCTGGTCTCCAACAGAAAAAATAAAACTCAAGCTTTGAAAACACACAAGGTCACTCTGAGCACTAAACAGGCCCAGGGGCTCCCGGCCCTTCAAGGGTAACTCTCACCCCGAGTCCCCCCTAGTCCTGGGGATAACTGAGGACACTAGAAATGAATGCCGAACTGGGAAGGGAAGCCACTTACGGTGTCACACAGATGAACTTGGTCTTCAGGTAGGGGGCAGCACCTGCAGAGAGGAAAACCGGGCTTTAACTGGTTGTGACCTGCTTTAAGAACAGCGCAAGAGGAAGAGCCATCTGCCTTTCCCAGGCCGCTTACACAGAGCCAGCTTACACAGAGACTGCCTGGACACCTCTCTCTACCCCTCAGGGCTGTCTTCCCTCATCGCACGCTGTCTGACATCCAATCTGGCAGTTTGGAGTTCTGTCTCCTCCAGAGTTTCCAGAGCTGCAGAGACTTCTGGGAACACCTGCCCCACCTGGACCTGGACCTAGCCTGCTGTCAGCTCTTGTGCTTCCTTCCTCACTCTTCGTGAGAGACCAACCACCTTTGTGTGGTGTTACGCTGTTCCTGTGGCCTGGCCACACTTGGGAATTGACTGCCCTGTTTGGCGACTAGCACAGACACCAACAAGACTGCATGTTTAGGAGAACACAAAGATGGCTAATGCTGGAGGCTCCAAAGCCACTTTCAAGCAAGAAAACACATTCCGGCCACTGGGGAAGACAGGACACCCAGGTCTGAATACATGTGCAATGGCCAGGAGACCTGGCCAAGGCGCCTTCTCTCTCAAGTGTGGGAGGGAGGAGAGAGAGACAGAGCTGGCTGTCTTCCATCTCTGCTGTTTATGTTGGAAATGGAGGACTAAATGTTAGGCCAAGAAATCAGGAAGCCTGGGGACACTGGGATGAAACCCTGGGAGCTGAGCTGAACAAAGCACGTAGCAGGCCTGGGGTTGTGCCGGTGGGCTGAGAAAAGCACAGACTGAACGCTGGGGCTCACATGCAGCCAGCAAGATGCACGGCAAACCCCTGGGGAAGCCATTGAAAAGTGGCCATAAGCTGGGCGTGGTGGTGTACACCTTTGATCCCAGAACTAGGGAGGCAGAGGCAGGCGGACCTCCTGAGTTCCAGTCCAGCCTGGTCTACAGATCAAGTCCAGGACAGCCAAGCCACACAAAAATACCCTGTCTTGAAAAAAAAAAAAGGCCATAGATGAAATCCAAGTTCATTTCTGGTTAACTCAGAACAGAACCAAAGGAACCAGAGGAATTCCTGGGGCAATTGTGCTCTCTACAAATCCAACTATTCTGGTCCTAAGAAGTTCTGAACTTTCACCCTAGAAAGACAGAGGGGACCAAGAAGATAGCTCTCTGCTAAAGTTGTCTGTCACTAAGCCTGATGACCTTCACTCAATCCCCAAGACCACATGGTGGAAGGAGAGAGCTGACACCCTCAAGGTCTGACCTCCAACAAGAACCACACACAAGTACACATATACAATAAATTAAAAAGAAAGAGAACAATTTCATTCTCCAATGACCAAGAGAGCTGAGAAATACAGTTTGAACCCAAGGTAGGGAGGAGTGTAGGACACAGAACTAAGATGGAAGAAATTAAAAGTGGCCTATTACTGTCTGGGTCTGGACAAGCTACAACTAAACTTACTCAAAATCCCTCCAGAGGACACAGTGTGTGAACTTCTGTAGCCGAGGGGACCCAGGAAGAGGCTCTAAGTGATTTCTTCACCATAACACCCATAGACACAGAGAAGGGGCCATCACAGGCTCACCTCTCTGAGGGGTTCACCTGAACCTCCTACCCTTCTTCAGGCTCCCCAGCCATCCCTGTACCCTCCTGATGCTCACAGACAAACCCATCAGGCACTAGATCCCTTTCCCATGCCCAGTGCCTTGTCCCTGAGGAGTGTCTCTGAGCAGCCTACGGCAGGGGCAGTGATGGAGGTGGCAGCCTGGCACCAGGGACCTGGATCTTGAAAGCAAAATTAGTCAAAAAAGTGATCAGCACTCAGACTTCAAAGTCCTCCGAGAAGAAAAGAACAAAGAGTGGTGTGAGAGGGACTGATAAACAGATCTCCCAACTGAAGGCAAGGTGGAAGCAGAGATAAAGGACAGACAGGAAGTGAGAGCTCAACCCCTCCACAGAGAGAAGAGAAGTCAAAGCAGAACAAAGGGAGAGGAAAGTAACCGTTGTCGGCATGTCAGACTCCTCCAGCCCGAGAACTGGACATTCCTCGAAGAATGGCGAGGGCTGTGTGTGTGTGTGTGTGTGTGTGTGTGTGTTGTACACACTGGGGCTATGTGAATGAAAGCAGTCAGTGAAAAGTAACCAGGGCAAGGAGGCCGACTCACACATCGCATTACAGGGCTCAGCATGGTGCGATGATTAAAAATAGTCACAGCAAACACAAACAAACCGAACTCCTCACCAGCATGCGGACAGAGACAGAGTCAATGCAGCAAATACTAAATGCTTACAGACCATATAGCGCTGGTCCTTCATGCTAGGGACAGCCCCAGGGAGTACAGATTAACCTAACATACTTTCTATTTTTTGGTATAATTTATGCCAGCGGTTCTCAACCTTCCTAACACTGCGACCTTTTAATACAGTTCCTTGTGTTGTGGTGATCCCCAACCACAAAATTATTTTCATTGATTCTTCACAGCTGTAATTATGCTACTGTTACGAATCTTAGTGTAAATATCTGAGTTTTCTGATGGTCTTAGGTGACCCCTGGGAAAGGTTGAAAAATGCTGATTTACAGTCACACGCACTCCCACATAGCAAAATGCATCTTGTTTAAACAGCTGCACATGCTAAATGCCAAGCCCAAATTCCCTCTGGCCATCTCCTGCAACCTCAATACTCCTCAGTCCGCTGTGAGCTTTGCCCCAGGCTGCTAACAGCCACTGGCCCCAGAAAGCCTTTCTTCAGACTCCTGGCACTGCTAACTCCTAACAGGAAAGCATGCTGGACTCAACTCTGTCTCAAGTCTTCTGGAACCCACTGTGTAAGAAGCACCAGAGAAGTGTCTCCATTTTCTCTTCCTAGGGTTTCGAGTGTGTGTGTGTGTGTGTGTGTGTGTGTGTGTGTGTGTGTGTGTGTTGCTATTGTCATCTTCACATTGTTAAGCTCCCTGTGAGGCCCAATTCTGTTCTTCTCTTGAATCCCATCAGCCACCCTGTCAAAGCCCCTGATAAACAGCTCTTTCCCATAAGAAGGAATCACCAATTCCCCAAGACATCCAGTCACGTCCATATCCTTGTACCCAGATCCCTTAAGGACCTGCACCTTCCCCACGAGTGAAGCCAGAACCACGGAAAATCAACAACTACCTGGGTCAGCCTCAGGGTGCTCCTGGCTCTCCGGTCGGCAGTACTTTCCGAACGCCTCCTCCTTGGGAATGTCGGGATAGAGGTAGACCAGCGGAGACACCAGGATGTTGGTAGCATCCATGATCTTATAGCCCATGATGATTTCAGCAAATGACATGTTGTTCAGCTGCTGTTTGGTGTATGGTTCTACAGACTGGATCTGGGTCTTGCCTGTCACAAGACATGGGAAGGGAAGGTTAGGCCAGTCCAGTCGAGTGCTGGAGTTCCTGAACACCCGCCAGTGACTTGGAACTGTGGTGATGGCCAGGCTGGCTTTTAGAGAGGCCATCCAGCTGGATCACAAGCAAACACTTGCCTCAGACGTGTTTACGGGGTAGGCAGAAAGGGGACTGAGGAAATAAAATTCTAAATCACACTTTTCTACACAAATATCAGCCAAATGGAGTGAAGAGAACCAACCGGCAGTCCACCCCTTCAGGAGGCACAGGCCCTCTCTGCCCTCAGGGGGGCGGCAGTACCCAGAACACCAAGCAGCTGGGTGCTGCCAGTAGCCACCAGGTGGAGCAAGTGAGACAGGAGGAGCAGGTGGGGGGTCTTACCGCTGATGTCCTTTTCCACCCAGGTGAAAGTGACCCCTCCTTCTTTGCTGCTCTCGCTGAACCGCAGCAGGAAGGTGCCCGGGGGCTTCGTGCTTAGGATGGCCCGCTCCCGCTCCTTGCTGATGAAACCCATGATGTGCCTAGGGAACACCCGTGTTGTTTGGGCTCAGAAGGCGGGCCCTGCCACTGGGGGGGCAGCTGACTGGGTTACACGGTGGGGCCTGAGTTCCAGCCTTACCCTTCGTTCCAAAGGGCCAAGATATACTTTTTCACAAGGTCGATGATATTGTCTAGCCAGACCCAGAAGGAGAAGCCCTTGCCAGCCATGTTTTCCTGGAAAAAAAAAGAATTGGGAAAGCCACATCCACCCCCATTCATCCCAGTCCTTTCCTGGGATGAACCCTGGCACTCTGCCAATACCTTGGGCCCCTCTCTCCTCAGGCAGCCTCTACTAACCACTGAAGAAAGAGGTCCCAGACTTTCAAAGTATTCACGGCCCCCTCACAAGCACCGCCTTACAAAAGAGTGCTCCACACCTGCCTCCTGAGAGGTAACCAAAGGAATCAACAGGATCACTCACTTTGCAAAACTTAGCCCACGTAATCTGGCACCCTGAGTAGTTCACACCAGGTCCTAGAAGAGAAAAAAAAAAAGAACAGAAGAACTTCAGCCTTGATGGAAGATTTTATTTCTCAAGGAGAATTTGCAAACATCAGGCCCGTGTATTTGCTTTCATGTACTTGCAGGGGGCCACAGTTGTGGGTGCATGTGTGTGCTCACATACACAAACAAGCCCAAACACCCAAGCCCAGCATTTGGCCCCTGTATTGGGCTAGCACAGATGTCCTCCTGGGTCCCTGCTCTTCCTTGCCTTGTGGGGTCTCAGGACAGGTGTCACACCCTGAAAGGCCGACAGCTGGGGTTAGAAGGCTGTATTTGGTGACAGCACAGGTCCAAGCTACTTTTTTAGTCCAGATTTTTTTTTTTCAAGGGAAGAAAAACTCTAAGCTGGCGTCTATGGCTTCTTAAAGAAATGGGCAGGGAATGCCAACCTACCTTCAAACACATTTAAAATATCTCCTCAAAAAAGAGGAGGAGAAGCCGCCTTCATCCCTCTCTATGTGTCCTAAAAACAAATGCCAGAATATACTCTGACTTCACAGCCTGGCCCCAGCATAGCGCTTTGCCCTATGACACTGGAAAACACTGCCTGCATGAGCAAACTCCAGGCCAGATGTGTCTGAAGCTGCCAAACTCCCACCTAGGAGCTTCTCAGCCAGTGTGGTCAGCTGCTCGATGCTTAGCCCTCGCTTTGTGGTGGACGAGAACTGCCAGCTGAGCACCTCGGCCACTTGGTCCCAGGTTCCAATCGGGGGCTTAGTGAAGAAGTTCACATTCTATTGAAAAGAAAAATTCGCTCACTTAGATGAGAAGGCAATGTTGAAGACCCGTGCTAGGGGCAGAGAGGCCGCAAGATTTAGGGATTTCCAGGGGGAGGGGCTGTGTGGCAGAAACTCACCTTGGGGTTATTGGTCAGCATGTTGTACCACAGGATCGAGGCCCAAGCATTTGGCATCTGACAGATGTTGGAGATCACCACAACTGGCAAGGAGTGGGTCTGTAGAGTATGGAGACAGGTGGGAACGGCTTAGTGAGATAGCTGGGCTCTCCTGGTGTCAAATACCTCTTCACCTGTCTCTCAACAGGCTCGAATTTCAAAGAACGCCAAAACCACACCCGACACCAGGTCTAGGCAGGAGAGAGACTGAAGCAGCTCGACACCAGGAGAATGACCAACCTGAGCAGAGTGACTCGCTGACATCAGAACATAACCAGTGACTTACAAAATGTAATCGGTTCAAAGCTAGGCTCCCCCAGCCCCTGACTTTCCATAAAGAGACCTGGCAGGCAATCTCCAAAATCCAAAGACTCTGCAACTTCCCATGAAACTCACGTGTTAGAAATAAAACACGAGGATGCCTGCTTTTCTAGATCTAACTTAAAAAAAAAATCAAGAAAACAAAATCTAAACGAGACTTTCTGTATACTGAGATGGCGGCTGCTAAGACTCAGCTGTCCAAACTTCTTCAAATTGATCCTAGGCAGTCACTAAATACAGACTCTCATCAGTTACTCAAGCAAAACTTTACTCTTGGGGGGCGGGGGGAGTGGCAGGGGGCCCTGTCAAGTACTTTTCAGAAATAGATAATAAAAAATAAACACTTATTTTTAACACTAAGTGACTGGCTTAGCAGACAGTCACTGTCCCAGCAGGCATTTTGTCCTGTCTTCTCTGCATGCCAGATGCCTAGTCCTGGGCAGGGCTCACCTCTAGGTCGATCTTGAGGCCTTGGTGGTACACCTCCGTCTCGAAGGTGATCAGGTGCAGCTCCTCAGTCACAATCAAGGAGGCCTACAACAACAGCGAGGTCACTTCAGAGAACGGCGCTGAGTTCTCAGCAGCAGCAGCAGCAGCAGTAGCAGCAGCAGAGGAAAGGGACATATAACGAACGACCCCACTACACTAGAAAAGGTGGCCGCAGACAGTGCCAGGGGCACAGCGCTGTGCCTTGTCTCTTCAGGACAAGACAGGATCCTCAGCTCGATCTTTTACTATGCACTACATGATACACAATCATATTTTATAATATACAGACTCAAGGCACAAAGAATAACAAAGCCGTAGACATCCAGGGATGCACCACCCAGCTTAGTTACTTATTTGGGGCAAGCAAGATGGCTCAGTGGGCAAGGGCGTTTGCCTGATAATCTGAGCCTGACCCCTGGGACTCACGGGGTGGAAGAAAAAAACAGTCCCACAAGGGGCTCTTTGATCTCCACATGTGCACCATGGCACATGCGAGACCACACACAAACACAGACACAAAGAAAGAAAGGGAGTAAGGGAAGGAGAAGAAGGGAGGGAGGAAGGAAGAGAGACAGAGGGAGAATGGACGGCAGGCAGGCTTACTTAGGCTTCTTCTCTTCCTTTTCTCTCTCCCTCCTTCCTTCCATGTACACTAGGGAGCAAACTCTAGGGTCCCATGCATGCTAAGAGCACCCCCACACTGAGCTACAGCCAGGGTTACCATCCGGTTTAAGGATCAGCCATTACTACAGAAATTCCTGTGAATTTTCTTCCTCTCCCCTTGCAGCTCGCCGTGTCTACAACTCTACTGTTTCCTAGCTCCTCCTAACCATGTTCAGTGATTTCTCCAAGCAGGCACATTTTACAAGGTCCTGCTCGGCATGCTCCTGCTGCTCACCTCCCCCTTGGTGTGACCATGATCACGTGATCAGGCCCCAGTTCTTCTTTCACAGCTGTAGAGTACCGCGCTGTGGCTGCACCACAGCTCGCGTCTCCCTAGAACGCTGGTGGAGCTGGGCTGGGTTTAGTCACCTGTATTTGTCCCTGGTCCACCTATGCAAAGCTTTCTTTACTGTTAAGTCCTGGGACTGGAACTGCTGGTTTACAGGGTGTGCTCATTTCCATGCCAAGTCGCTTTCCAAAGTGGCTGTGACAACCTTCACCGCCACGAGCAGTCAGGCAGTGTGGCCACCTGCCTGTACAGGAATTACTGATGAATTCTCAGGAATCAAATTCCAGTTCTTTGACGTGTGGGTGCTGAATGACAGGATAACCTCAAACTCCCCGCCTCAGCTCCTGAGTGCTGGGGGCTTTTTCTGGCTGTTGTTTTCTTAAGTTTAACTCTGACTTCATGCCTTCTGTCTCACCAAGGGCACTGAAAACGGAGCCAGCTGGCAGGTGGTAGCAAGGGACTTTGGGAAGCCCCAGGCATAGTGGAAACTTCTTTTCTACCAAATGGGTGTGGCTAAGAGTTGTGCAAGGGACTTCCCAACTGCTGAAGCGGGGAGGGCAGCCAACTCCCCAACACTCAGGGAAAGGCTCCTCACTCAAGAACTCCGAGGCACCTGTGACTTCCGAGCATATCACACTGGCCCAGAGCAACTTTTCTCAATGACAGCAGCTGAAATAGCTGGTTAAAGTCTTTAATTTTGGGAGAGAGAGAGAGAGTTTTCTCTCTTTCTCAAAGAAAACACTGTCAGTTAGTCTTCAGCCGGAACAAAACTTACATCACAATTGGCACGACCCCCATTCCCACATCTCTGCTCCCTCAGGGTCTGGAAGAAAGGAAAAGAAGCCAAGAGTCATGGGAGGCTGTCCCAAGCTGTCCCTCCATCACTGGCCCTCTGTTCAGGGGAGCCTGGGCCCCCTCCCTCTGATAACCTACCAAGTGCTTGAATTCTGCAGACAGGCTGCCATTGTTGGACTCTTCCATGTTCATCACTTTTGTGTTCGTGCCCAGAATGTTAAATTTCCGAGATCTGAATCATGGGAGAAAAACCAACATGTGAGTGACTGCTGAGTAGCCAGAGGGTAAAGCTGGATGAGAGAGAACAAAAGGAGGCTGGACTCACCCTCTGAGGGCCGCAACGTCTCCAGAGTCTCTGTGGAGAACACAGATGACAGTTAATAAAACTGAAATTACAGAAATTCCCAGAACCTACTGACTACCTGTTAACCTACTCCAGTGGAAAGGCTTTTAGCTGTTCAGTTGCGTTTCAGGTATGAGGCAAAGCTCTGTAAGAACATAAGCCGTAGGTAGCCTCAGCTGGGAGTCCACCCCACAGCTTCTTTCCGCTCTGCTCAGCTTGGGATGGCGGAGCCCATCCTTACTTCCGGGGAACCCAGATCACTACAGTCATCAGAACAGAGGAAGCCATAGATCGGGTGAGGACGGGGTCTGCCTCGTCTCTTTGCCTTGTTGGTTTTCCGAGACAGGGTTTCTCTGTGTAGGTGTGGCTGTCCTGAAAGTCACTTTGTAGACCAGGCTGGCCTTGAATTAGAGATCACCTGCCTCTGCCTCCCGAGTGCCGGGATTAAAGATGTGCAATTGGCTGGTCTGCCTGGTCTCAATCAGGCCAAGGAGGGAATTCTATCCTGGGCTGCTCTTCTGTCCCACAGATGTGTGTGAGAAGGTATATGACGTTTGGTAACTGCTACCCGTAGCCATGGGACCTGGAAGGGACGCCGTGTCTACAGGTGACACGCTGCAGACGGGATGGAAGATCCTGGGTTCCTGAAGACACCTGTGAGTCACCGATCTCATTGTCAGGTACTTGCCCCAACTGCATTTCCAGTTACACGGGTTGGGAATTTCCTTATCATTTGAGCCACACTGGGTCTTTCATAAAGGTATGTTGTTACGGACAACTGACAACCCCTCCCAGGACAGGGCTGGAAACACTGTTCCCATGCAATCGAGGCAGCCCCTGTCTCTGACCAGGCCATCTTTTTATATCACGATGTTTCTGTATTTATCTTCTTTTAGAATGCTATTTTACAAGTTCTTAGCTAGGTGGCAAAAAGCTTTAACCCCAGCACTGGGAAGGCAGAGGCAGGTGGATCACTGTGAATTCAAGGCCAGCCAGGGCTTTATAGTAAGACTCTCTCTCAAAAAAATAACAAAGAAGTGAAATTTATTTTCCATTGCTATATATTTACTTACAAATAGCATGTCCTGATGTAAAAGAAAATTATCAACTTTAAACCATTTCTCTTTCCATGCATAACATTTTCAAACCAATTATAAGAAAGCTCCCCCTCCTTCCAAATTGTATTTCTCTGTTTTATAGTCCCTTTTTGTATTACTTTTACCTATAACTCGTACCAAGAAATTACACAATTTAAACTCTACAGCCTCACGGATGGATTATAGATAAATGCTCTGCACACCTGTTCCATCAGCGTAGTCAGAACATACTCACCACCCCGAGTGTTCCCAGACTCATCTGTAATACCTCCAATCCCATGCTCTAGCCCACCCTGGCCCCAGACAGACATTTTCCATCACTACAGATTTATTTGCATTTTTGGAAATATATGCATGGAAACATAAAATATATACTCTTTTGTGGGGAGGAGACCGGGTGTCCTTCACTCAACATAACTACGATTTATTCATGTGTTGCAACTTCTAATGGTTCCTTTCTTCTGGTGATGAGCAGTGTTCCACTGTATGATGGAGGGCAAACTGTTTGTTCATCACCTGTTAGCGGACGCGCATGTGTGTTTTTCATTTCTCTTGTGTTAGCAACAAGGAGTGAGAGGGCTGTGTCATAGAGTAGGTCAGGATTTTTAGAAAATCGTCAGAATTTCTTTCAAAGTGGTGGTGTGGCTCCGCTGTGCCGCTCTTATGTTATGTATCTACCTGTGTTCTGTGGGTGCTTCTGCTAATGTGTAGATACAGTGAATACACTGGGCTTTACCCTGATGGTCCGTAACAGGGACACCCTAACTCTCCACGCCAACCCGAAGGACGCTGCCCCACTGCCGCTCGCTGAGCACCCTGCCCTCTCCACCTCGTGAGCCCATATTAACATGTATTGATCTCTTTTACTAACCTCTGGACCACTTCTAGACTTCAGATTGTCACATGAGTAGTCAGCACATTCTTGTCCTGGCGGCACTTCTTTTACAGCTGGAGCTCTGCGCTACACTTTAACACCTGGCAGGGAGCCTTCCCACACCCATGCCTACTATTTTTATTTATATAAAAGATTTTTAAGTCAGTGTGGTAGCGCACGCCTTTAATCCCAGCACTCAGGGAGGCAGAGGCAGATGGATCTTTGTGAGTTTGAGGCCAGCCTGGTCTATAAAGTGAGTCCAGGACAGCCAAGGCTACACAGAGAAACCCTATCTCGAAAACCAAACAAACAAAAAACTTTTTTTGGAAGTGGTGAGTTTCAGAACTAAGGAAAGGAGAATGAGAGCAACTGTTCAATCAGGACAATGCTGCAGGTTTGTAAAGTGACTTCGTTCTGGAGACCTGCTGCAGAGCAGAGTGAATGCCCACTGCTACTGAACCTGACACTTAGGAATGAGATAGGGGGTGCAGGGTTGGCTCAGTGGGTAAAGTGATTTTTGCACAAGCATGAGAACCCTAGTTTGGGTCCTCAGCAATTGCGTAAAATCTGGGTGCAGCATTAAGTGTCTTTAACTCCAGTGCTAGGGACTACAGAGATAGGCTGGCTGACAGCCGGCCTTAGCCCCGGGGTCAGTGAGAAACCTTGTCTAACAAACGAAGGTGGACATGATAGAGGAAGACACTTCATGTCGACTTCTGCTCTCACGCATACGCACGCACACACTAAGAAAACTAAGTTACCTTGCTATCTTTGCTTACTTCTTCCACCTGTGATATAACCTGGCAAACAGTACTTATTTAATTGCACCTTTATTTTTCAGTACGCGAGTTGAACCCAGGGCCTCGGGCATGCTAGGCAAGCCCACTGGCACTGCACTGATTACACTCCCAAGCCTCTTTGAATGGGCACAGAAAGAATGTAAGAACCAAAGGGGTTGGAGGACACCAAGAAAACAAGGCCCTCTAAATCAAATGAGCGAAGCTCGTATGAACTGACAGAAGCAGAAGCAGCATGCCCAGGGCCTGCATGGGTCCACACTGGGTCCTCTATGCTGATACTATGGCTTTCGGTTTAGTGTTTTTACAGGATTCCCAAGTGTGCAAATTAACGGAGCTCTGGTTCTTGTGTCTCTCTTGGGTTCTTTTCCTTCTATTAGTTTGCTTTGTCCAACTTTGATGTGATGGTTTTTGTTTTACTTTTTTATACTTTATTTTGTTACATTAAAAAAAAAAAAAAAAGAATGAATGAAGGTAAACCCAACCACTAGGCCAAAAGATTAACAATGGAATTGTCACTTATACCTGCTGGGAGAGGGAAAATCAGTTTTCTTAATGGAATGGAGCTGGGTATATCAACTCTAGGGCAGGCCTCCTGTCAGGGGTCACTAAATAAAATCATGTGCATGCTTTTGTTTGGTTACAGTTTGGTGATTTGTTGTGTTTGATTTTTGTTTTTCTTTTTGGATGTTGCATTTTGTTTTCTAGGTTTTTGAGGTTTTGTTGTTATATTGGGGTTTTGGTTTGTTTTTTTGAGAAAGAACTTAAAGTTGGTTGAGTAGGGTGAAGGGGAAGATCTGGATGTACTTGGGGGAGGGGAAGAATATGAGCAAAATATATTTAAATTTGAAAGTTGTTTTAAAATAATATATATGCATAAATAGGTATATATATAAAGAATACTTACTTATCAATGCACACTTTAATTTTAAGCTGATAATTCAACTCAGGAAACTTGACCAGCAACCTATTAAAAACATATAGTCAAGGAAAGTTAGTAGGCCTCTTACCATGACCTCTAGTTTAAAAAAATAAATAAAACCCCTAATACTTCAATTCCTGAAAAGTAAATATATTCCTGGGAGTGGGTGCACGACTTTATTCGAGGTGCTTGGGAGGCAGAGGCAGGTGGATCTCTGGGTTCAAACCAGCCTGGTCTACAGAGTGAGTTCTAGGACAGCCAGGGCTACACAGAGAAACCCTGTCTAGATGGAAAAAAAATTAAATATATTTACAAACCCAACTCCACCTCCACCCAGAGTCATCTTTGATATTAAAGCTGAAAACTGACCCTTCAGCCAAAAAGTCCTGAAATGCCTAAGAATGTGAACCAGGTTGTAAGAGCCTCCCAGGAAGCTAATAAAAAAAGCATTTAGTGACAGATACTGCACAAACATGCTCTGCAGCTGGTAATCCTTCCGCCAAACCCGAAATCCAACACAGTTCTATTTCTGTGGAAGATTTCACAGTTCAGGGGAATCCTCCACACTTGTTCTGATCCAAGGTGAGGAGTGGGCTTCACTTCCCCCCCTTGATGGGGCCCTCAGCTACCACACCACTGAACCGCCATTCACCTCCCCTCTCCACGGGGGCCCTCGGCTGTCAAATCCCTGAGCCTTACTCCTTCCCTTCTAGTCCTCAAGGAAGAGGACCAAGCTCATGGAGGCCCACCCACAGTGCGAGGGCAGGGCGCACCTGACTTTGGTAGTGAACTGGACGCCAGTCTTGATGACCAAGGGCCGGTCGGGGTGCATTGGCATGCAGGGCTGCCGCTCCACCACGAAGGCACTAGGAGGAAAGAGGGCGGCAGGTCAGAGGCTGCGGCGACCAACCTTCTTCCTGTTCTTTGCTCCAGAACATCTGCTTTTTAAGGTTACCTTTTCATCAGGTTTCTGAACAGCTCCACGATCCTCTCCTCCAGCATCGGCCGGTGCTGCACAATAGGGTCCCCCTTGTAGGACACTTTCTGCTGCAGTTCCTCCAGCTTCTTAATTTGCTGGCGAGTCTGAAGTTGAGATTCTGCCAACGAAGTTATCCTGCCAGTAACGAAAGGGAGCCCCCAGTCACCTGTGTTGTCTAGCTGTAACCCCAGCACTCGGGAGACACTGTGCCTGGGCTGCACAGTGACTTCAAGACCAGTCTGAGCTATGCAGGGAGACCCTGTCACACAGAAATAGAGGGGGACGTGGGGTCTAAAATAATGGAAGGGAACACACAGAGCATGAGAATGGCCACTTCAACAATCTGAAGCACATAGTCCAGAGGAGGAAGGCTAAGGCTTACATTGCTGGAGGTCATTAGTGGAGTTGCCACTGGATTGTGAATGACTTCAAGCCCAAATATGAAGCATGCTCGTGCTCACTTTCCTCATCCTAAGTTGTCGATGTATTAAAACATGGAAGTCGGAGAAGACTGAGGGGGCTTGAGCCGGCTGTGCCATTCACAACCTGCACAAGCATGGCCAGGCCTCTTCACTACGGTGGGCCTTAGAGACCCTTGAAAGAAGAGAAGGGGTTGAGCCTCACCAAGACGATTCATCGAAGATGAACCAGAGCTATGCCAAAATACTGATAATATGTACACACAAAAAAAGTGAGCAGAGGGGCTGGAGAGATGGTCCACGGATAGCACTTGGGGCTCTTGTTTGGTTCCCAGCACCCATACTGGGCAGCTCACAACTGCCTGTATGTAACTCCAGTTCAAGGGGTTCTGTTGCCCTCTTCTGGCCAGGGTTAGGAGTGTAGTTCATGGTTCTAGAGTGTAGTTCATCCACCCCCAGCACTAAAAAGGAAGAACAGAAGCATGAGCCAGGGAGCAGCACTCTGCAGGCCTGTGACTAAACCCAGCTCTCTCGAAGGAAAAAGAAGCCTTTCGTCTTGCAGCTCTCACCAGTTTTCCAGACGATCCAGGCAGATGTTGGGAGGGCCTCCGATGCAGGCGATCTGCTGTCGCCTCTTCCAGTCGGCCAGTTCTTCATCTGTGAGTGTTTTCTGCACATACTCCATTGCTGACAAAAGCCCCGCCAGCTCGCTCACGATGCTCTGTTTGGAAACCAAAACAAAGTTAGAAGACATTTCCCCAGACCACGTCCATAACCACATTCTCAGGTCAGTTCCAGAGAAGGAACCCACTGGAAACCGTCAAGTCTTCCCACGAATGCTTACTCTCCGCATCTGGTCCAGCGCTGTGAGCATCTGTTCCAGCTGCTGCATCTTCTGTCGGGTCACGGACTGGTTGTTTCCATTCAGATCCTGCATGTCTGATGGGGGAGGAAAGACTCGTTGAGCAGAGGGGAAGCCTTGAAGCCTTCTCAATGAGGCCTCAAACCCTGTGTGCACCCGCAATCCCTGCTACTCAGACAGCTGAGGAGAGATGGTAACAGGCTCAGAGTTAATCTGAGCTGCACAGCACAAGCAAACAAAAGGTTGCCCTGGTAAATGACAGAGGTTCCCGCTTTCCCTACCACGAAGTCACATGAGTGAAGGCAGGTCCTGAAACTCAATGACACAGCTTAGCTTTCTACAGAGTTTACCGTCTCTACTGTTCACTTGCCTCCTTGACTCTTGAGGGTTTTATAGTTGAAGTCGAAGTCGTCCTGCAGATTCTCCACCACCTTCATTTTCTGTTCTAGATCCTGTTTAAACAAACAAACAAACCAAAAAACGGAAGTTTTTTTTTTTTGTTTTTTTAAAGAAGGTTTCCTTCAGAAAGGGGAAAAGAAAGCTTTGAAGATAATGAAAACGTGCACGTGAGACCACACTGTACAGCCCAAGCACGGCTCTCTGGGTTAGGCCTGGTTACCTGCACACGCTTCCGGACGTCCTGAAGATGCTGCTCCAGCATCTGCTGCTTCTCTGTCACCACAGCAGCTGTTGGGTGGTTGGCCTGGCCCCCTTGCTGAAAAAAAAAAAAAAAAGATTATAACACAGGTGAATTCACAGAACCCTCTCATCTGCTCTCCATCCCGTCCTGTTACCTAGCCTGGGAAACACGCAGTGGTGCAAGAGGGGAGGATGCTGGGGGAACCGCAAGTTGCTCTATTCTGTCAGTGGCTTTTTATGAACAGAAGACACTGTAAACCCGTTCTCTGCATTAAAGTAGGAGCCCAGACTATGAATGGTCTCAGCCTTCAAGCATCTCATGGGTAAACTGTCAGAAAAAAAAAATCTATGAAGAATTTGGGGTACGGCTCAGTAGCAGGGATTGTGCTTAAATGAATGAAGCCCAGGCTTGATCCCAGCACTGAGAGGATATTAATAAGTAAATTCTGAGGGCAGCAGAGTGCAATATATTTCCATGAAAAAAAAAATCTTTTCCCAAGGATTTTCAAAATCGCATGTCCATAGCTTCTGCCAGTGGGGAGAGAGAGGCCAAGGCCTTAAGGAGTCAATTAAGACATGAACTGTAAAAGGACGGGCTTTGCACGGAGCAGAAGCAGACATCTGATGGCAGGAAAGACAAAAAGAAGCTACAAGAACAAGACAGCAGCCCAAGGATGAAGATAGCAATCTTGGAGAATGTGGGAACTAGGAGAGATGTTATCTGTGCGCTTCTCCAAGCTGGAAAAGCTCACACCCTGAGCCCACACTAATCAAACACTGACCTAAACACCACACTTGTCAAGGACTCAGATCAGGCCCCAACTGCTGGGCTTTTCTCTTTAAATTTCTGTACTTTATGTATACGAGTGTTTCACCAGCACCGTGTGCACACACCTATCAGTGCCTGCTGCCTGAAATGGGGGCTGGATGCCCTGGAACTGGAGTTACGGATGTTGTGAGCCACCTTTTGGGTGCTGGGAGCTGAACCCAGGTCTGCTTTAAAGGCAGCAGTGCTCTAGGCCGCTGAGCCAGCCCTCCAACACCACCCTTTGCTTCTACGACTTCTCACTTCCAGTCCGTTCTCTCCACTACTGCCACGGGTCTCCAAAGCAGGTCTGAGCGGGCCAGTTTAGAGACTGACATCCTTGCCACTTCTCTCCGCTGCCCAAACCACAGAATGCAAACCTCTCAGAAGACTTGGGAAAACGCCGAGCCCCTACATTTTTCCCCACTATGGGAGCAATGCTGACTGATAGGACACAGAGAAGGCTTTCAGAAGGCTCAGCCCCAAAGCTGTGCCTCTCCCGTCCATTTCCTAAACTTGCGTAGGACAGGAATGAAGGCCTGGTCTCTAGAAACAATCAGCCAGAGGTGGTCTAGGGTCTCTAAGCTCCATATGGCTGGCTAAAGAGGTGTTCTCTGCATACTCCCAAGCTCTAACTCAGGGATTGGGCGTTAGGAAGTCCCTGTGGGACTAGCATGTGGCTCGAATAGCTACTATCGGCACTCAGAAGGCTGAGGCAGGAGGATCTAGAGTTTACCACACTGGGCTATGTATTTGAGACCCTGTCTGACATGCAAGCAGAGTGTGGTGGCCCATGCCTGAAATCTCAGAGACTGATGCAGGATTGCCATGAGTTTGCAACATCCCAGCCCACACAGTGAGTTCTAGCCCAGCATGGGTAACAGGAGGTGGATCTTTCTCAAAAAACTGAACATGAAAACAAGAAAAAGTGGTGTGGAGAGTGTGGTGGCATAAGCCAGTAACCCCGGCACCTGGGTGGCAGACACAGGAAGATTAGCTGAACTGGAAGTCAGCTGTTCAACACAGGAAGAGCCTGCTCATCAACCAAGGGCTGAGGGGGCAGCTTCGACGTCTCGCATGCATGGAGCTCTGGAGCTGTCCCTAGCACCTCACATACAGGATATGGCGCTGTGCACCTCTAGTCCCAGCGCTCGGAGGAGGAGGAGGAAGCGCGAGAATCAGAGTTCAAGTTCATCCTTGGTTATATCCTTGGTTGGTTGGCAGGGTGGGATGGAGGGGGCTGTGTGAAATTTTTTGTTATTTTCAATGTGTCTGTTTAAGGCTTCCCATCCAGTCAGTGTCTCTCTCCTCTTTAGCCACATTAAACCGTAATTGTTTATTTATGTGGACAGTGCTTGTCCCCTGCCCTGCACTTCGTTTCTTCTCAGTCTCACCTGGGCTGCTGTGGCTGCTGTCTGGAGGAGGCGAGACTCTTCCCACAGGCATCGGGCCACGATCCGGGCAATTTCCATTGGCTTCTCAAGATACCTGCTCTGTAAGCAAGACGGAAAGAGAGTGGAAAGCTGTGGCAGACTCAGGAGGTGTGGATGTAAGCTAACTTAAAACTCACTTCTGCAGAGCCTCCATGAAACAAGACCAAAGGCTTCAGAATCTGACTGAAGGAAAGGGAGGAAAAAGACAGCCTCGGCAATGGCAGAGGCACGAGTCCATCCTGGGAGTCGGTCATCTGGATTTATAGGGAAGTGATTGACTTTACCCAGGAGTATCCAATTAATGGCCAAATTTCTAACATTTAGAACTAAGAGTCACGTGCCTATGATGAGCAGGTGTTATTAGCACGCTGCTATGAGAGACTAACATTAAGCTCTTACTTTACTGCTTAAGTGAATTTTTGGTAATGTGCCCAGGGGCCCGTGCACAGGGAATTGAGAAGGAGCTAATTACTTCTTTGACTGAGAGTACAAGACAGGCTCTCATCATTCAGCCAAGTGAGGACAGACACACTTCCGGAAAGAGCTCTTAATAGCTCCGCTCTGCTTCCCACCCCACTACCCATCGCACCTGCAGGAACTGCTTGATTCTTCGCAGGTTGTGCTGATAGAGGACGTTGGACTCTTGCAGGAATCGGCTATACTGCTGGTCAATCTCACCCAAGAGGTTATGAAACACCAATGTGGCATGTGACTCTTTGCTGGCTGCGTATGCCCTAGGAAAAGGAAGTGAACTGGATGAGTTCTTTGGAGAGCCTGGTGTGAGAGCACAGATCTGTTCATGGCTGTCTCAGGAGGTAGAGCAGGAGGATCTATGGTTCAAGGCCAGCTTTCCCTACCTAGAAGGTTCCAGGCCAGTCTGGGGGGACTTTGTGTCAAGAGCAGTGACAACAGGAATTTAAAGCATACACACACACACACACACACACACACACACACACACACACACACACAGACTCCACCATCAAGGGGTGGCAGGGAGGACAAGGAAAACTGATGCTATAACCTACTCATCATTTCCCATTTCTCTTGCTTAGGTCAACAGTGCCACAATCGGTGGTGTAGCTTGGTGACACAGGCTTGCCTAGTTTGACTCCCCCAGCACAGGGAAAAGAAGAGAGAGAAGAATGATTCCAGACAGTGTTATTTATTCTTATAGTCTATATGAATACAATATTTGAGCAAAAATGGACAGATGTAAGTCTGGTGTGGTGTAACATCTATAATCCAAGAACTACTTGAGCAGCCTGGGGCTGCATAGTGAGTCCTAGGCCAGCCTGAGCTGAACTGCAAGACTTTGCCTCAGACAGACAGACAGACAGGACGAGCAAGCCAGACCTTGGAATGATAGCACATGCCTACAGTCCTAATACTTGGAGGTAGAAGCAGGAGGATAAGTAGTTCAAGGGAACCCTCAGCTGAATATGCAAGTTCCAGGCTAGCCTAGACTGAATGAGACCTTGTCTTAAAACAAGAACAGGGGAGAGCAAGATGGCTCAGTAGACAGAAGTTCTTGGTAAGGAAACCTGACAATATTAGTTCAATCCTCGGAACCTACGTAAAGGTGAAAGCAGAGAACTGACTCCATGACACTGTCTTCTGGCCTCCACGTGTGTGGTGGTGTGTCCACGCACTGGCCCCCCAACACCACATGCACACAATAATAATAAATAAACAAATAAACAAATAATGTCCAAACAAAGGAAAAGGACAGATAAGGCCGGGCATATGGTCGCCCCTTACAAGCGATGAGGACCTGAGTTCCTACCCATAGAACACACATAAAAATGCTGCCAGAGGCAGGTGGCAAACGCAAGACGAGCTTAGTGGCATTTTTTGAGATTCCTTGTCTCCTAATGCTGTCTCTGGGCATTTTTTTCTTGTAGGTCTCCTGCGCATATATCGTCACGTTCAGTGTTGTGTTTTTAAAAGGCTTCTGTGTGTGCAGGGACATGTGTCTCTGTTGCTTGTGCTTTCTTTTTCTTTTGTCGGTTTGTTTCACCTTATTCCAGTCTGTTTGTCTACTCTGTTTTATTACTGTTTTTAGTGCCTGTTTGTGTTCTAGTAAGAGAGAGAAAGGGTGTGGATTTGGAAGGGACAGGAACTGGGGAAGATCCTAGAGGAGCTGGCGGAGGAGAAACCATAGCCAGATATACTCTATTTTTTAGAAATCTATTTTCAATTAAAAAAAAAAAAAAGAAAATCTTGGGCACGGTAGCAGAGGCTTGTAATTCCAGCATTTGGGAGACAGAGATAGACCCTGAGGGTCTGCCCTAATTGTGAGTTCTAGGCCAGTGAGAGACCTGGTCCTAAAGGACCCAAAAGGTTGTCCTGTGGCCTACACACACACACTTGCATCTACATAAATATGTGCACACATACACAGAAAGTTTTGTTTTTGTTTTTTAAAAAAAGGACAGATAAAGTTGGGCATGATGGTGCACGCATTTAATCCCAGCACTCAAAAAGGCAAGAAGATTGCTGTGAATTCAAGGCCAGCCTGGTCTATAGGACAGCCAAGGCTATACAGAAAAAAACTTTGTCTTGAAAAACAAAAACAAAAACAGAACAGATAGATTGTTTTGCCTTATTCTCAGTCAATCCTGTGGTCAGATTAGTGTAAATAAGTGCTTATTAGCATAATGAGCAGGGATGGGCTGGGAGGTCCTCCATCACCTTCTTGGCCCTTCACCAAATCAGGTTATAGATTCTGGAAAAAAAAAATAGGTCACCTTTAGATGGGCCGGATTTAAGCCAAAGCTAATAGACGGGCCTGAATACATTAGAGTGAGGTAAATAGCTGACATCATTTCCTCTATGACTCTTATTTCCCTTTCCCCATGTCTCCTTTTTAACAGGGGAAGCCGCATGTGTGGTAGACCCCAACTTCTGAGATAAAAATCTCACATTTAAAAAAGAAATCTACACCTCACCATCAGAGAGTGAAAATGCAGAGGTCTCACTGGGTGAGACACAGATCTGACTTCCAGGCATCTACTGGCGAGCTGGTCCAATGTGCCAAGAGGCTGTGGCCCATATGGACTCTGGACACAGAGGATGTTTTAAAAGGTTTCATTGCCTCTGCTCTCCTGATCCTTCCCCAACACCTGCCCTCATCTGTCTTTGATGAAAGGGTCAGGAAAGTATGAAGCTAGAAAGTTGTGTCCCCTGGCTCAAGCCAACCCCCCCTCCCCCCATTCAGGGAATTTCTCAAGAAGGACTTACCAGTCTTGACTCTCAATCCACGGTGCCAGGAACTGCCGCAGCTCCATGGGAAAGCTGTCGCTGTACAGCTGGTGGAGCTGCTCCAGGTACCGCGTGTCCAGCTGCTGGAGCTGGTTCCACTGAGCCATCCTGCCACAATCAGGGGGTCACAACTGTGAAGCAAAATGTACATATGGTCACCACAAGCCCTCATAGGGGACAAAAAAAAAAAAAAATCTGGAAACATCCAGTGGCTTTGAGAAGGATCTTGCATGTTTCTTGTAGTCTTTTGCATCATACACACATTCAAAATTCTTACCACCACGGCTCTCTTTGCACCCTAATGCTGGGATTGGACCCGGGGCCTTGCACAGGCTATGCAAGTTCTCCACCCTTGATTTTTTGAAACAGGCTCTCAGGCTAACCTTGTTATCTCCTGCCTCTGCCTCCTAAGTGCCTGGATTTCAGGCATGAGCTGCCATACATGGCTATATCACAGTTTCTTTTAAGTTTCGATTAGGCATGATTCCAAGCTCTAGAATCCATGTTCAAGCCAGGCACAGTGGCTCATACCTGTAATTCCAACACTCCAGTGATATTCTGATGGAGAGGTCAAGGCCAGCCTGAGCTCTATAAACATAGTAAGACCTACTCTGAGAAGGGGGGGGCGCAAATAGGGTGGCCCAGCAGTTCAGTGTACTTGCCACTCTTGCAGAGGACCCAGGTTCAATTTCCAGCACCCACCCACATGGTGGCTCATAGCCAGCCATAGCCTCAGCTCCAGAGGATCTAATGTGACTCACCCTTGTGAACTCTCAGAGTACCAGATAGGCACATGGTACATATGCATACATTTGGAGAAAATACTCATATAACATAAAATAAAATAAAACTTAAAAATATATGTGTGTTTTTTTTTAAACTGACCGAACTACAACAAATTTCTTATCCATCAGAGAGGTAAGTGAGGTTAAAAAAAAAAAACTGTTATGTGAAGCTGAATGATTTCCTTCGTCGGGGTTTCTGTTTCCTCATCTATAAAATGCAGATAATTACTTCTTCCCCTCGGGGCCACTGAAGTAACATTCCTGAAGCCCTCAACTAGGAGCTCAGCACCCAGCAGGTGTTCCACATCTCAGCGCCTTTGCGCGCGCGCGCGCGCGCACACACACGCACACACGCACACACACCCACACACACACACACCCCCCGCTACATTCAGGCTGTCTGCGAGGCTACGGAAAGAAAACCCGCACTGAAGTAAAAATGCAGACAGACTGGGTGCTGCGGCAGGCTTCCAAGGATACGTGGCACGTGCCTGGAGTTCGCCCACGCCAAAGGAATTAAATACGTACACACATATTCCAAACCTAGGGCGAAGAAGGCAAGCTACATGCCACGTAAACAAGCTGATCCTGGGATGGGCAATGGCCCACTGAAATGCTCAGCTCTGGGAACCCAACTCAGCTAACCAACTCAGGAAAATGTCTCTCCAGAGCAAGTATCTTAAGGTCTAAAAATAGCCGTGAGTAAGAGCCCAGGATTAGGGAGTGGCCTGTGCGCGGCAAACACCGGCTGGAATGGAAGAGCGGCCTGCCAGAGCACGCGTTCCGGCCTGAAGCACCTTGATTTTGTGTGGTACCCCTCCTTACACCAAGGCCAGGTCAGAATCAGTGTCCTCCTGGCTTAAAAGCATTACTGTTGTCCTGTGTTTTTTGGGACCTGATTTGCATAGCAATCCGTGTCAATGTGAAGCTGGGAAGATGGCCCAGTAGATGACAGGCCAAACAAGTGCTGAGGACCTCAGTTTGGTTTCCCAGAACTCACATACTGATAAAGAGCTGGGTGTGGTGGTACCCGCCCGTAATCTCAGTAATGGTGAGAGATGGGGTGGAGACACGCGGACCCCTGGAGGTTCAGTGGCCAGTCAGTCTAGCCTACCAGGCAAAGTCTCGGCCTGCCGAGAGGCGCTATGTCTAACCGAAGGTGAAAGGCATGACTTCGAGGTTGTCCTCTGACCTGCACACACATGTAGCTACACATGCACGAGCACGCACACCAAGAAAACACCACTGCACAGGATTGCACTGAACCGAAAAGACTCCATTGTTCAGCACGGGAGACGCCAACCACTGAGCAAAGGAGATACAAATGATTCCCACCCACATACACAGCACTTCAAAACAGTGAAGAGAAAAGAGTGTTCGAATCTCAATGTTGAAATAGTATTTTGGAAATGTTGGGCTAAATACATTGTTAAAATTATTCTGCCCATTTCTGAAAAACTTTTAATGTGGCTACTAGAAAATTTCACAGGCTGGGCATGAGAGTACATGTCTTTAATCCCAATACTTGGGAGGCAGAGGCAGCCAGATATTTGCAAGTTCAAGGCCAGCCTGGTCTACACAGTGAGTTCCAGGCTAGCCAGAGATACATAAGGACCCCACCTCAAAATAAATAAATAAACAAGAAAACAAAAAACCCTAAACAAAAAAGAAGGTGTAATATAACACATGTCACCTGACTTCTACATATTAAAACAAGGACACCATTGCTCTGGGCCAATTTATAAAAAAGCACTATGGTCCTAATTAAATCATCTGCTTGAAATAATAAATTCCAGTGCTATAAATTACAAAAACAGAGGATTTCATCTTTTATCTTAGACACAAATGCAGAGCCAGTCCCAAGATTAAAAAAAAAAAAAAATTGTAAAACCACACCCACTCTACCTGCTCACAGACTCCAGTCAGGTGCACATTTTTAAGCTAACATAAAAAAAAAATGCTAACCAGTTGACTTATTTCTAGTCTATAACTCAAAGGCTTGTTTCATCTTGGATATCTGGATGTTTTTAGCTGGTAAATGGTATGATATGTGGCTTTTTTTTACACCAGAGACCAGAGACCGGCTTCTGCCTTTTTCCATAAAACTGACTAATTTTTAGCTGAACCTGGTGGTGCACACCTGTAGTCCCAGCACTTGGGAGGCAGAGGCAGGTGGAGCTCAGTGAGTTCCAGGCCAGCCTGCTCTACAAAGTGAGTCCAGGACAGCCAAGGCTACACAGAGAAACCCCTGTCTCGAAAATAAAAAAGAATGACTAATTTTTGTGTTTTGTTTTGGTCTAAGATAGGCAATACTGTCAAACTATTCTACAAGAAGAAAAATTATCCTAAATTAAAGGCAAAGAGCAGCTTGTATTTCCAGAAAAAATATGGGTGTTTGGGTGAAATGGTTTAGTCCTGAGTGTCTGGCAGCTGTGTCCTCAGATGCTGCTCAGATGCAAACCATGTGGATTAACAGAGCACAGAGCACCAAACGTTTTTCCCAAGAACAGACCCTTTAGAGATAACTAGCCAAACTGTAGGAAACCAACTTTGCTGTAACTGTTTTCCTGGAAGACATTTAAAAGAGACATTTTACAATCTGTCTTTCAAATTCTAAATCGATTTAGAGGCCGGGGACATGGCTGGGTGGCATGGTGCTTACCCAGCATGCTCAGTGCCCTGGGTTCCATCCTCAGCGCCACAAACACCAACAAAACCAGGCTAATCCGACCGACCCCAACAAGTTCTTTTTATGAGTCTGTCAGTGCAGCCTAGGCTGACCTTGAACCTCTCATCTCCCTGCCTCAGTCTGAGCACCTAGGCCTCAAGAGTGCACACCATGCCCAATTTGCCTAAGTTCTAACTAAAGTTTTGTTGTCTTCAAAATCACTTGAAGCCTCTGCTTTAATAACTACTTCATTGGACGCCAAAGCAGACAGTGATCTGCCCAGCAGTTTGAATGCCAAGTACCAGCCTGGTGGCAGAAGAGAGGTCACATCCTTGCTCCAGTGGCTGGATTAGAGCATGACATAAGCTTTCTGCCCTGCTGGCTCCCATGAGGCTTAGCTGACAGAACATTACCTCAATGCAAATGAACAAAGGGAAGGTAAAGTGTGGTTCTTTGAATGAGAACCCCCCCTCCCGTCAGCTCTTATGTTTGAATGCTTAGCCATCAGTTAATGAAGGTACTTGGGAAGGTTTAAGAGGCAAGGCCTGTTGGAGGAGGTGTGTCACTGGAAGTGGGCTTTGAGGTTTCAAAAGCTTGTATCAGGCCCAGTCTCTCTCTGTCTGCCTGCTGCCTGTGGGTCAGGACATAAAGTTCTCAGCTACTGCTCCCAGGCCTATTTGATGCCTACTTCCTGTCATGATGACCATTAACTAACCCTCTAAAACCGTAAGCAAACTCCAAATTAAGTGCTTTCTTTAGTAAGGGCTGTACTGGTCATGGGGTCTCTCCACGGCAAGAAGCAGTAACTAAAACAGTGTGACCCTATCTTCTTTTGTTTTAGAGATTTACTTTTATACGTATGAGAATTCTGTGTGCATGTCTGCACTGAGTATGCCAGCAGAGGCCAGACATGAGTGTTGAATTCTCTGGAACTGGAGTTACTGACGGTTGATGAATGGCCACGTGGTGCTGGGAACTCGACCCGCATTCTTCACAAGGGCAATAAGTGCTCTTAACTGCTGGCCCATCTCTCTAGCCCCCGGTGATCCTAGTTTCTAAAACTCAGAGAAAAGGAAAATGAAACAGCAAGTCACCAAAGACTTTCTAAACTTCTCAAAGCGGGAGCTTCTTAGACCCTTGGGAATAGCCCTACCCACAATAAGTCAGATGGAAAACGATTCCATCCTAAGGAGGAACTTCTTAATGGAAAGACTGCCCTTAAAGGGACAGTCACCATTTATATAGTTCACTTGAAAGACACCAAGGGAATCACAGACAAAAGGGGTTAACGGGGGATAGAGAGAGGACTCAAAGGTTAAGAACACTGGCTTTTCTTCCAAAGGTCCTGAGTTCAATTCCCAGCAACCATATGGTGGCTCACAACCATCTATAAAGAGATCTGGTACCCTCTTCTGGCCTTCTGGCTCACATGCAGGTAGATTACTATAAAAATAATAAATAAATCTTTTTTTAAAGGGGGTGGTATTAATGACACAGCTTTCTAAACTTTCTAAGCTAAGAAGCATATTCCACATGTATGAACCAGCGGACTATGATAGAGCAGATGAAAGATAAAGAGGGACAAAATTCAAATATACAAAAAAACAAAAAACAAAAAAACAAAAACAAAAACAAAACAAAACAAAACAAAAAACCCACAATAGAAAGTGATACAAAG